GCGGACAGCGAGTGCCTCATCACGCCGGGAACGAATTCCTCACCCTCGTCGTGGCGGAAGATCTAGAACAAGGTGGGACACTCACCCGGAACGCCTCCTCCCGCGCGGCGCTCATTTCACGTAAGCCTTTTCCCCCATCCATCGGTCCCGATTCTGATATCCAAGTCGTGTTTGCGCGCCGGCCACACACGTACGCAGACGTTCGCCGCCGTGATCTCTATGACGCACGTCTCCGCTCGGCTTCGCGTTTCGGCTGGGATCCCGCAAGTCTCTCCCCGACTGTGCTCGTCGCTCGCGTCCCACCTCCCGTCTATCTCGCGTCTCCGTGCAGGCGGCGTTGCCCGTCCGCCAGACTTCGCACCCCCCTCCTCCAGACTCCCCCACATGGGCGATCGACGCGTCCCCGTCGTCCGCACATACTTTGCGCGCGCGGCAACGCAGTCTCTGCGTTTCTGGCTTTCACCCAATTCCTTTCTGCTACGTGCGCATGCTCACCCGCAGGACGATACTGAGCTAGCGTCGCACGCACACAAGTCACTGGCCTGGGCACATCCGACTCCCGCAAGCTTCAGGCGCTGATTGGGAGAGTGCGCCCGCGCCACGCGAGGCTCAGACTGGGAGTGCTCGACGGGCGTTGAGGCCTGAGGCCTGAGGCCTTGAGGACGCGGCCCCGGGAGCTGTGGCGGCCGCCAGTTTGTAGCATCTGTTTGGGAACGCTCAATGAAACTCGTAGGGATGCGCATGTGTTGCGCGAAGATACCGGACGAGCCTCTCCCTGTGTGAGTCGGGCAAAGTCCGTCGCTAGATCTAGCGTTAAGGTGGACAATTGAGTGGTGGAGGTGAGCGATGAGCGCTTGAGCTGGGGTAGGCTGCGTCGACACGGTGGAAAAGCTTAGTACGAGCAAAGGCGCTTGCGTTCGCGGTGGTAGAAGCGGGGTGTCCGGGGTGACGGAGGCGGGACCGTGCTCGATGGCAACGCGTACACCTGTGCGTGCATTGGGCTTTGGGGGTGCTATCGTGTCCAGTGCGGGTGATGCGGGGGAGACGCGGGGAATGTGGGCGATGTGGGTGAGGAGGAGGAGGTTGGTAAATGACGCAGATCACGTGGGCGCAAGTGGGCAACGTGGGCGAGGCAGGAGGCGTGGGCACGGGCGATACACCAACAAGGCGGGCCAGGGCCAGGCTACGGAGCGCTACATATCGGACACCAATGGCTATACACTTTCCTTTTTCCTGACACAAACGACGAAGATTGATACATAAACGTATCGGTATACGAATGTCCTGAATACACAAAACATTGACAGTACTACATAGCTCCACTCCGTCCGCACCACGCATAATAGGCGCCCGTCGCCCGCACTGCCGACAGTGGTCAGTTCTAGTCACCGAATGTGCAAAAGTCAAATTGAAGGCTCACCCAAACAATAAATGTGAGGGCGCTGTTGAGCACACTCCATTTGAGGCTACTATTTGCAACTAGTAGCCCCAAACGGAGGCCTCGAGCTCCCCTTCCCCAGCTGAGCCTTCCCTTCATCCACCGTGCTTGATACATCTTGAGAGAAGCGTGCCCTTGTTCCAGCACGTTGAATGCAGATGCAGTGGCAGACAGCAGACGACATACCGCGGTGCACCTTGACATTCTGCCTCGTCCTCCACCACTCCAACAATGTCGTGCTGCGAGCTTTGCCCACACACTGTCCAAGTGCCCTGCAATTGCGTGAGCGACTGTAGGCACTGAGATAGTGAGGAAGTCACCAGCGGGGAGTGTAGAAGGACGCTTTACCTCGTGGGGGAACGCGATGTGTTGGGCGAGTTCTTGCCCATTCGAGGGGTTGTCACGACGCGTGTGCTATAGCGTGCACCGGTCCTGTGAAACGCGCGAGTTAGCTATCCGTGGTGTGGTCTAGGTGCGCCGGGCGAATAATTCACGTTGTACAAAACCCAAACACCGTGTCGGACAATGGACTCACCTGCCATGCAGTGGTGTCCGATGGAGCGGTGTCTGTCGCAGAGTGTATCAGTCACCGTTTGCAATGAAGGGTAAACACTCACATGTTTTCCGTGGGAAGTGAAATGCGAGTTGACGCGTACCTCTGGAGCACGAAGCTCCAGGACCTGTGGGGGACGCAAAGTCCCCCACATGCGCGTCTCCAAGCCCCCTCGTGGACACGAGGCTAGCTCGCCTGAACCGTTGAGGGGGCAACATCCACGCCGGGCCATGCTGCAGGTAGGCCCGGACACGGAGACGGAGACGCGACCGGTCACGGCACGCGCGAAGCAGGTCGAGACGCGCAGACTCAGGTATGGAACGCATCGGCACGTGACCGTCCCACGCATCCCCGTGACACGGACCCGTGTGCGAGCCTGTGTCGGTACATTTCGTTCCTCCGACCACCATCTTCGCCATGCCCCGCCTTGCTCCTCTCGTCCGCTCACCCTCCGTCCACCCTCTGCTTGTCGTCTCTTGCCGCCCCCTGACGCCGGCATTCGGTTCTCCATCTCCTCCTTCTGCCCCTCGTTGAAATCCTCGCCATCGTCATGTCAACCCTCTGCACCCTCCGCATCGGCTTCCGCGACCACCACGGCCCCGCCGCAAACCTCACCGTAGACCCCGTGCCTGCCCCCCGTGGCGCCCGCCGGCGAAGGGGTGGGCGGCGCAACCCACTCCGATGCTGGTGGCAGCAGCAGCGCGGACCACCGCGGCGCGTTCATCCCGCTCACCGCGCTCGAGTCCTTCACGCTCAACGTGCACATGACGCGGCTCGCCGCGGTCCCCTCCACCCTCAAGTTCCTTCTCGTGCGCCCGTCCACGCCCGCGCTCCGCACGCGCGCATTTGCTGTCTAACCGCGGCTCGCCCGCGCCGCGCCCGAGCCCACTGTCGTCCGCGCGCTCGAGCAGGAGCGCGAAGGCGGCGCGCTCTTCAAGACCATGTTCTCCTCGCACACCTAGCGGGCCGCCGTGGGCCTCGCGGAGACGGAAGGCGTGGCCCAGGTGGCGTTCGGCGCGCAGGGGCTTGATGGGCCCGTCGTATTCGGGTGGGGGAAATGCAGCGATGTCGGCCAGCAGCGCAGGTGCGTCGTCTCATACATACCTTGCAATGATGTTATCCCAAAGTGGTGTCGTACACGGTGTAAATTAATTAAGTTGAGCAATATATGTTGAGCCTTCATGCAACCGTAGTGTGACGACGATTTGTGTGAATTCTATGTATGTCAGGCATTCTGGGTATGTGCGTCTACATACCAGTCAGCTACCCGCCCCCTTCTATGTGCAGCTAACAACGTGGGGTTGTCTACTGGGGTGCCGCGTCTGTGTAGCCTCTGTAGACGCACATAGCTAGCCCCATTTTTCCTGACGTGCCGGCTGCCCCGTTCACGGATGAAGGAGGTCTGGATGCCTATCAGCAGGATTTCAACTGGACTGTCAGAATGACGTGACTGCATGTGCGTGGATGCGTGTGGACCTGATACGACACACGCCTTTCCCGCACTGAGCACTCCTTTTCCCGAACTCTTGTTGCTACTCTCTGGCATACATACAGCTACGGTCACAAAGCTTGTTCAGGCGCCGAAAAAACGCGACGTGCGTCGAGAGAAATCGAAATCCTCTTCTCTGTGGAAATCAGAAGTACGTATCTGTGTCTTTCTCAGGCTCACCTGCTGTTCCGTTTCAGCCTGAACTGACTACAATATGTTCAGGTATGGGTCGTGCCTCTAAGGAGAAATGGATGAAGAATAACAAAAAGCAGGCTACTCAGCGCAGAAACCGGAAAGATAGGGCGGATGCTAAGGCCGCAGCTCATTTGGCAGCTCAGGTGAGTGCTATACCTTTCCAGGACTTGATTTCAGACCTCCTTACGCTTGTATGCAGCCGGAAAAGCGGCTCTCTCTCCCAGACCTCTCTGATACAGACTCAGATGACTGCGACTGCGGTCTTGCCTCCGATGACAATGAGGAGGAAGGAGATGGAGAGTGGGACAATGTGACTGACATCGAGGAGGAAGGCGTCGAAGGGGACTTCAATCCGGACACTGTGAGTGCTTCGGTTCTCTTTCATACACATTTCTCCCATACCATCGAAGGATCTCGGCTACAAGTACGAAGTGCCCCCCATCCCGAAAGGCGCTCCGACTTTGCACCGTACTCCCCTCGCGCGGTCTCTTCGGTCTCTCATGGACGCAGCTCGTGCACATGGCGAATACAACGCTCAGCGTGCGCTCGATTCGATGCCTGTTTATCAGGTCGACGCCACGCTGAAAGAGCTGAGGAGCCGTGTTTATGGCAAGGAACAATTCGCCGCTATCGCAGACTGGTGGAAGCCTGATAAAGCTGCAAGGACGCCTTTCTCCTGCAAAATCATAGACAAGACAGGACACCCAATCTTGATTCACTTCGGATATCAGCCCATTGGCCCTGATGTACGTCCTTCGCTCTACCTATAAACGTCTGGCTAATCACTCCCATCAGGAGGAGGTCTTCAACTCCACGCCTCGTCCCATCCAACACATGCAAAATTCGAACAGAACCACCGCTCATTTAGAGAAGGCTCGGGCTGACCCCCATGTTACCGTTCAGGACGACGGAATCCCTGTAAGTTCCCACCAAGGTTTCGCACTGTGTTCTTCTCCCTTACGTGTATTCAGGAAGCGATGCAGACCCGGTACTTACAGGGTGTCCAAAATGTTGCTGCGGCTCTTCGTCCCAAACACAAGGGCAAGTGTAAAGATCGACACCCAGGGAAGCAAAACGATATCAACTCCCATGTTCTCTTCCATAACACTGAAGGTGGTGCTCCTTGTGATGGGGTGAGGCGAGGCAACTTTCACTTTTCACTGTGGATGCAACGGGGCAAGGATAACGGGGTGAGTGATTTTCTTTCCGACCTAGCCTTAATTTGTCTCATGATTTTGGCTCCAGCCTCTAAGCTATAGCTCAGACCTCAACATGAATAAGAAGACACCCATTGGGCGGCGCCGCTTCAAAGAGGTCGTCAACTACTACATATCAAGTGGTCCAATCACCTCGTATGTAGCCGGTCTCTTCAAGGTCGGCTTCCCAGAGGCCTACGCCGAGTACCAGGAGGCCTTTGAAGCCGGCCGTTGGATTTGGGTGAATGAACCGGAGGGCGCAGGCTGGGAGGACGATGGACCATGGCTTAACCGTGCCGTTGTCTGGAAGCTCCAACTTGGCATGCATCTAGATAAAGGTGACGGCGGCCTGACGGTCACGTTTCCAGTGGGTTTCTTCACTGGAGGTGCGATGGAGCTCCCACAGCTCGGCACAATCTTTGAGTGAGTTCTCTGTTTGCATCAGTATTTGTACTAGACGGTTACACACAGAGCAGGTACTTCGCTGGAAATGTAATCATCACATATGCCGGCCAGTTTGCGCATACTGTGCAGGACTGGAAGATATCCGATCATCGGCTAGCAGCAGATGGTACACGGATTGACTGTCCGGAGGACATCCTCCCTGGACGTGTCGGTTCCGTCTACTTCAACAAGCAGAACGTCTTGAGATTTTGCCAGGGCAAAACTCGAGGCTTCTTCAAGGCAAATCCTCTGCATGTGGACCCACCTCAGGGGAAGAAGAAGGGAGCTAACCAGTCGGAGAAACATCGACGTCGATGGGCTCAATGAGATGGGCACGTGCGGAAGGCGGAAGTACTATTTTGTACTGCGTACTGTTCTGTTTGTTATCTACTAGTGTTCGATGTTTGTTCCGTTCTTCACATATTGTACGATGCATGAGTCCCGCATTTCCAGGACATTAGAGATCACCATGGGTATCCGCGGGTTAGACACTCTGATTCGCGGGTCAGTCACTCCGCGTGCAGCGGCTGAACAATCGCCTCCTCCTCCTCCACTTTTTCCCTTTTCTCTCCCTCGACCTCCCACGCCCTGAGTCCCACCACGCCCCTCTGCCGCCGCCTCCTCATCCTCCTCTCCTCGCCATGGTCGCATCTCACCTCCAGCTGGATCCCACAATCGCCTTTGACGCATGCAAGGCGCACTCGCGCACTGCTCCGCAGTCCAGCTCGGTGCTCGTGGCGTCTCTGTCCTCTTTGCATCCAGAGACAGCGCCGTTGACTGCATGAACAACAACACAACCGCCTTCAACCCCACGTTCCCGCCCAACTGCCTGTAGTGCGTCATTGCCTATCCCGACGAATCACGGCCTCATCATCCTCCAGCGTCACTTCCGTCGGCGGCGCCCAAGGCTCCTCCGGCGGTTCTCGAACTACCACCCACGCCTTCGTACCAGACCCCCGCCGTCTCATCATACCTCACCGCGCTTGGGCACACAAATGCTGGCTGGTTCAACGCATCCAGGCGCACGTTCCCGAAGTTTCCGCGCACGCGGCCGACTTCCGGATCGGGTTCGACGAAGTGGAGAGCGTATGGGACGAGTACCGCGAGCCCGACGGTTGGTTGCATCGTCGCATCATAAACGAATGGCTCGTGCAGGCAGGCAGCCCCCACTCGGGTTCTTGAACCCGTGACTATATGTGCGGGCGAGGGTCGCGTTCACGGACGTCACGACGGGGGACAGCTCGATTGAGTGCAATGGCGAGCAGGTTGGTTTTGATAGTACGGTGGAAGGATGGACACGGTGCGTTCGCTCTTGGTTGTTGCGTGGATGTGGTGACTGACAGAGTGGGTTGCGATAGGTCACTGGGCTCGGCACCCCTGAAAGCTGTTCACGACGGCATTGCCGGCTCGTGCTGGGGACCGTCGGACGGCCTTTCGGCACTCAGTGAGGCACAAAAGAGCTGCTGCATGCTTGCCACGACGTGTTTACTGGTGCGTACCTCCTTGTGTTACTAGCTCAGTGCTCACGGGATCTTGACAGCGATGAGAGACGCTCTTGCGAGAGGTGGCCGGCTGCATCATGATATCAGCATAGGCAATATCGTCCTGGTGCAGGAGCCTGACAGCGAAACACGACGGGGATATCTCATCGATTGGGAGCTGTCGAGCAGGGTAAACGCATCACACCGGCTACTTCTTAAGCGGAAACCGTGGCAGGGTACGCCATGGTTCATGGTGAAGAACCTTTCCGCCCGGGTGCATAGCGGCCATCGCCGCGCCTTCCAGGACGACATGGAGTCTTTGCTTTACGTGGTTCTCCACGCCGCTTTTCGGTGGCAGTCGCATGATTTGCCCGAGGATGTGCTCTGGGAAAGGTGGAATGCGTTCCATGAAAGCAACCTGGCCACCGCCGCACGCGACGCGGCGGCGGGTGTCCGGTTCGACAGCGATGCGGTCAGGGAGTGGCTGGACACCATGATGGCCTTCCACGCCCCTCTCCCCACCCACGGTGCCGAGTTCAGGGACGCTGAGTGGACGGGCGACGACCCGCCCATCCGCCCTCTCGTCCCCCCGCCCATCCACCCGTCCGCCCGCTGCTGAGCCACCCCCACCCGCCCCCCTGGAACGCGCATCGGCCAAGGACTTCTCCCGTACCCGCCGACACGCCCAGAAGCCCCACCACACGCGCACCCAGCTCCAGGTTGTCGGCCTCCGGATACAAACCCTCCGGAGCATCCAGCAGATGGCCGAGCCCATGCGCGGCGCCACTCGTTTGTGTGTAAGCTCGCTGCCCCCGCCTTCTTTGACCGCGCTTCCTGACCCCTAGTCAAGGCCAGTGACTGGGTGCGACGACCGAGGGGCTCAACCTGCCCCAGACCCACAGCACCATGGAGTTCGAGCGGGAGAGCACGACGATGGACATGAAGGAGGAGATGATGTCGGACGCAGTGGACGGTGGAAGACAACATCGAGGACGAGGAGGCAGACAGCGATCGGATCCTCAAGCAGGTCCTGGACGAGATCGGTGTCGATCTCTCGCTGCAGGTACGTGCTCGACTACGAGACATTGTCTGTGTTCTCAAGTTGCCGTCACCCAGCCGTCGCCTGGGGGCTGGTCCGACCTCCCCTCGGACGCCAAAGACCCATTCTTCTTCTCCACACGCGAGGTGGAAGACTACCGCTGCGACATGCGGCGGCGTGTGCTCGACGACAACCGCGAGGCCCGGCTGCGCGCTCTGCGCAACGCAGACGGCTCCGACAACGACGACCCCAAGAGCCCGAAGGACGACTGGGGCGGGAGCGACGAGGAGGTGCGCGCGTTTTCCCTCCCATCACCCTCCCTTCGCTCACTCACATTCGTCTCTCTCTCCGCAAGCTCACCTAAACTGCACAGGCTCCGCGCGCGTGGGCGCGGCCTCCCTAAAATTGCCCGACCGACCTTGGTCTACTACCACCATCAACTGGCCGTCGCCCCTACTCGCGCGCACACCCCGGACCTCCATAACCGCCTGCGTCCCAGCCGCCGCCGCTCGGCGGCCCCCGCGCCCCCGCGCGACCCCACTCTGGTGCTCACTGTACCCGTTCCTACCCCGTCGTGCCCCATCGCTACTGTGCCTGCTATCCCACCCATATCCCCCCTCTCCTCCCCCGTCCCAGTGGCCGTTTCCTTCACCCCTCCCCACACCCGCCTCTATGCTCCGCAAGGTCACGACCCCCTTGCTCCAGGGCGCCTGCGTATGACGTGGCTCACCTTAGATTAGTTATGATGATTCGAACTGACGGACTACCCCTTCGTCCCGGCTCCCGCGGTAACGTCGCCCACCTTACGTCCCTCAGTTCTTTTCATTTCCTAGTCTACTGACATGAGCTCATGTACCCTACTTTGGCTTACACCCTGGCCCGCCCGCCCCTCCCCGGAGGGTCGACACGAAATCCTCCCCGTATGCGCTAGCCCTCCCCGCTTTGTAATTACCGTACGTACCGCCTACCATAGGGCTCCGCCCTCACGGGCGATAAATGGGATACAAACAAACATTCGTCTCTCCACCCCGCTCCTTTCACGCCCACTTCCTCTTCTTCCGACCCGACACCCCCTCCCTCCTCCCACGCGCACGCAGCCCGATGCGCTGCAGCGCGAGCTCATGCGCCGCACCGCCGCACACGTCCTCGGCCCGCCCAACCTTGCACAGCTCCAAATGCGCATCCTCGTGAACCACGGCGCGGACTTGTGCTTTGCTGGGTGCGCGCGTGGTGCCTCGAGCAAGCGCGGCAGAAGAACTACAGCAGCTCGTTCAACCCGAACGGGAACGGGTACCTCTCGGTGTACGGCTGGTCGACGAGCCCCCTCATCGAGTACTCCATCGTCGAGTCGTACGGCACCTACAACTCCAGCACGGGAGCGACCTTCAAGGGCACCGGTGCGTCCCCCGTGTGCTTGTCTCCTCGTGTCCGGACGTGGAGCTGACGGCGCGGGACGCAGTGAGCAGCGAAGGCGGCACGCACAACATCTACACTGCGCGGCGCGTCAACGCACCGTCCGTCCAGGGCACGCAGACGTTCACCCAGTTTTGGTCTGTCCGGACGAGCAAGCGCGTCGGCGGCACGGTCACGACCGCGAGCCACTACCCATGACGGTGGATGATCATGGATGGCGGAAAATAAAATGGCATTTTGTCCAGTAAACAGGCCCATAGCCGCCGCCTACGATTGCAAAGGGCAAGTCTACAAAAACATCAATGCGGACCTTATAACGCAGCATGCTGACGTTGAGCGAACCATAGGCGCCCGTCTTACGCGGCCGTGCTGCTCTGTGGACCGAGAACTTTTGCGTCGTGGCACTGGCCACCAGCCTTGGGACTCCGATGACCGAGACTGCAGCAGCACATTCGGGAAATCTCGACATCTTCTCCGATATTTTACATATCATGCATCAAAGTTTCAACGGCTCGATGAGAAGACCGGCCCCCGGAGACTTCCGTACCCACCACTTCTTCTCTCGTCAGTGCCACTCGATCAATCGCCTTTCAACAGATGCAGCCGCGTCGCTTTCCGAAGAAAACCTCATCTGATCACGCTTTCTACCCTGCACTCAAAACGTTAGTATGTGACTACTGCTATCTCACACACATCATAAAGTGACAACTAACAAGGGTCCGGTGAAGGTTGACTTTGGCCGACGACGCCAAAGGTATACGCCAAATAACGCCCCGACTTGGTATGTACCTTTGTTTGCACCAACAACAGAGCCAAACTAATTCCTAACCCTATAAGATACTGCGCCAGACGGACAAGCTCACCAGTACATCTCTGCCTCAGATTTGTCTCTGCCCTGCCCCAGGCCTAGCTACATTACCGCACTTGCATTAGCACCTGCATACCACGCTCTTACCGCATACAATCCCCACCCATACAACCCCCACCCCCATCATGTTCACCTCCTTCACCTCCTCCACTCCCCGCGCCGTCCAGGCCGCTCCCGCCCTCCCGCTCCTCTCCCTCGGCTTCATCGCCGCCCTCACCCTCGTTTCAGCTCACCCTCTCTTCCTCCAGCTCGTCGTCCTGTGCTACGTCTTCGGCGTGCAAATCCGCACTCCAGCTCTCTCTCCAAGACCCAGACGACGCTCACCGTTGAGTTCTCCATTTCTGTTCCCCCCATCCCCTCTCCCTCCGACAACATCTCTATCCCTCTTCATGTTCCTCCTTCCGGGGAGCTGGACGCCGTCTTCCAACGAGCTTTGGCGGACTGCGCCTCGGCTGGCATCTCGCCCCACGACGTCAAGATCGAGCTCTCCGACGAAGACTACGAACTCTTCGAACGCG